TTTAGTACATACAAATACGTTTTTAGAAGTAACTTATTACAGACATGGACACTGAAACAAACAATACAGGCACAAACACAGACACAAAAGGCCAGGCAATGACAACACTGGACATTGAATCGCAAGTAACCATACTATTGGAAACCACCTGTGAATAAACCACTATAAATCACATATGAATATGATAAATCACCATAGGAACACATGAAATCATGCAGAAGTTATTTAAATTAAAGAAGAATGATGTGGATTTTGACGTATATACCTGCAATTAAACTTCTTGCAATGTGCATCTGTTCAATTTTGGTCCAGAAGTCTTATGAATTAACGATTGGACTCCTCTCATTCTGGAGGAACGTCTAGATCATCGACGAGTTAATTTAAGGTGGCTCAATACAGTTTTTAAAAAAATAGAAATTTCACGATTGAGGTGCGTAGTTTTGGACAATTTTTACTTGTTGATAAATAAGAAGTACCTTATATAAAACAGCATCTGAAGAGTTTGAATTTTTGCACAAAAGTTATGCAACTGCTGTTGCTATGGCAACAATGACGTTTCAAGATGGCAGATATTTTGGCTTTAAAGTAATTTAACTTGTAAACGACATCAATGACCCCCAAATTTTATTTTAAAAAATTATTTCTCTCCATATAATCAATTATTTTGACAATTTAAAACAAAATTCTGTGGAGTCAATTATAAATTATTATAAATCACCTTTACGTAATTTTTAAAAATTTGGCTCCACAGAATTTTTTTTAAATTGTCAATACGAAGAATAATAATTTTGTAAAATAACATCTTGTTGCATAACTTTTTTAAATATCCGCCATCTTGTTGCATAACTTTTGTGCAAAAATTCAAACTCTTTAGATGTTGTTTTATATAAGTAAGGTACTTTTTGTTTATCAGAAAGTAATAATTGTCCAAAAATACGCATCTAAATCGTGAATTTTCCATTATTTTAAAAACTGTATTGAGCCACCTTAATGGCATATAGTTGTGCAGTTAGAATAAAATAATTTTATTTATTTATTTATTTATTTACATTTATATATTAGTATGTAGAATCATCACACTTACACCTTAGAGAAAAGCATCCTTTTTTGTGTAGATCCCAGTTGAGATGTGGAGGATAGTAACCACAAAGAATGCACAAGAAGTTGTAGCTATGATTTGTCAACGCTTCGAAATGGAAATAAGCATTATGCACACGGTCCATTTTCACACCAGATACTTCAGAAAATACAGCTGCAGCTCGCCCAAGGGCAGTATGCTCCCGTTGTGCGAATGAAAGAATTAAACAGATTATGCCAATCACTAGTTTTAGTTCAAGGACTATCATATATGTGAATAAATTAATTAATATAAACCAGCAGCAATGTATTAATAAAATATGTTTATCATCTCCTCAAAAATCAACTTACCTCCACAAAAGCTCTAAGAAAAAGCATTAAACTTAAGCTGAAGCAGTGACTGTCGTTGAAGTTGTGAATTCCATGTATATACTCCTGATAACGATAGGTCATACCACATTCTGTGCACATTTTAACACAGATAAGTATGTCTAAAAATATAAACGAAATGTGCTTAATCTTTCGCTGTTTCCTATGATTGACAAGGGCAGTTAACATTAGTCCATTGAATTTATACATTTGCCTGGTAAAAACGGTACAAAACGTGATATTTATTAATTAAAGAAAAATTGTTTCTGATGTATTTAGCAACATCACACTTTTTTTATAGTATATGGCGTGAAACAATTAAAACTAACCTTCAATAACTTTCGTTGTTGTGAATATTCGGCCTTTTCGTGTGATTTGAATGGGACAACTGAGATCGACGTCCTCACAGTATGTGCACTGCTCCTCAGTCGGGACTAGGCAAGTTGGATATGTGTCCAGATTGTGCGTGATTTCTCTGGGTATATCGACAGGAATCCTTTTAACAGTATGAAGGGACAGGACCATCTTTGCCAAAACTGTTTTGGATAGCTTAACACAAGGCCAGAAGTGGATTGGGAAGTGCCAGTTGCACTTTCAAAACCTTCAAAAAGTCTGTCAATTTCATCAGCACTATCACTCTGACTCTGTTCGGTATGATTGTCATTCAAAAGTAAATTTTCAGACCGCTCGACGTACATAAACCATTTAGCAACGCATTTATGAACACAGTTCACTTTTGTTCTACAACAAGAGCATCACCATTTGTTTTTATTCGAATTGTATGTTACTGTGACTCGTTTGAAATGGGAGTAACGATGAATGTTACCATTGTAAAGGTGCCGATACCAGATGGATGAGGGCTTTGTTGAATCGCTATACTCGGCAATTAATGGTGCTTTCTCTTGGAGAGCATCGTCATGCAATTTAAGGCACTCTTCTTCTCTACTGCGTTTAAACCAAGCAACCTTGTTTATTAGGGCTTTTAACGATTCTCGGAATTGGAATTTTTGTTTATATATTGAATGCTTTTCAAATGGTTACAAATAAAATTTGGATTCCCACTTCGTTTTGCTGTATTAGAAAGTTCTCTACAATCATTTAACTCGCACGAAAATCCACCGTTCACCCCAAAGTTGTGTAGTACATGGAGTGGATGACTTGTGCCTCTAAACAAACGTTGTATCATGTAGATGCCCTGGATCGACACAAATACCATATATATATATATATAGTTTGAACCTGAAATCGAGACCAAAGATCAGCCAGACAATTGTACGTCCCAAGGGCTTGTCCTTGCATGATTGCTTATTAATGACATGAACGAGTGCTTCATCAGTAAAAAATAAAATGCTATGATTCGCCATCTTATGACCTCAGACTCAGTACAATGGGGTAGAATTCCAAAATAGCAATGTTATGGTTGTGCCAGTGATCGGGCCAGAAACCTGTGCCAAAAATTGCACCGAAACCAATGCCACCCGCGGCGTCTGTGAACAAATTAAGCTTAGAGGAATTTTGGCATCTGTCATCAAGAAAAAATGAATCAGCCATTAAATGTTGACAGGAAAGATAACCAAACGTTTAAATCCTCTTTAGCCTCACTATTAAGTTTTATTAGGTGATGAGAGAGATGCCGTGGGTGAAATCAATCAGTCAACACAAAAATGCCCTTCCTGGGGTGACGACGCTGCAATGCAAAATTTAACAAGCCAACTAGGGACTGCATTTCACACAAAGTAACTTTTTTGCACCTCAAAAATTCACTGATAAACTCCACACATTTTTGCAGCTTATCACGAGGTAAACACGTTTCAAACGTAATGGTATCAAGCTCAATTCCGGCGAACGATATGGTTGTTGAAGGCCCAAATGTTTTCTGTGGGGCCAGCGGCAGACCAATAAATGCACAAAATGCTAGAAAGCGATGTAACTGAGTCTGACAGGAGTCATAAGAGGGCGTAATAAGCAAAAAATCATCAAGTAAATGTAAAATATAGTCGATATCGAGTTTGTGTTGAGCAATCCATTGAAGCGCAGTCCTAAAAACTTCAAAGGTGTTGTAAGAACTGGCAGCACCCATAGGCAAGCACCGCGGCAGTAAAAGGAGGATACTCAGGAGGATACTTTTGAGCATAAACCCCTACAAAAATGCGAAACACATTCATCCAAATATTTGTTATTTTCTTGGCTTTACTTATCGGCTCTACTGAAAGAGAAGGTGGTAAACCGGCGTCAGAAGAGCTAAAGCTCAATTGGAATTTGTTGTCCAACATTGGATTGCTCAACAAAGACCCAAAATCAATATATTCATTGTAACAAATTTTATTTTTAAGTTGAATGGAAATCTGACTGTCTATAGGTAAACTAATAGAATGATATTCCTGCGTTGGTTGAACCCTGGCTAGAATTAGGTGCCAAAAACGTCTCACCTGAAATTGCTGCGTGGGATGAACCAAGAGCGTTGGCAACAGCAAGTTGCGTCACAGCCGTCGGAGGAGTAGCAACATGTTCTGAGATGCGGACAATGGGCAATTCCGTAACTGAGGCAGCAGATCCAGAAGAACTCGATGAGACTTCGTTGACACCAGGCACTGGAGTTGTTACAATTTGCAGGCGACGAGTAACTTCTGTGGTTACGGAGCTGGCGTGAGAGCTGAGCAGCTGTTGCTGGCCAAGGAGAACTGGATGAAGGAACCGTCATGGTTGTCCCTGGGGCACAGGACATTCAAGCACGATGGGAACGGCGTGCTGGTGGTACGGCTACCAGTACTGGTCGCTGAGAACATTGATTTCGAGTGGCAGGCATGGTAAAATTTCTGCCAAATACACTCAGAAACGTAGTGGCAGAATGCTCAAAAGCTTATGGTGGTAGGTATAAAATCTAACAAGATAAAATAAAACTACAATATTGGCTGGGTTGAGCATGGCACACAACAAAGTGGCCGCACCACTCGCCCAATAAAACTCCACTAAGAAATAATGAGGACGTAGCCTCAGATTAACATGTGTGAGGACGTAGCCTCAGAGTAACATGTGTGAGGACATAGCCATCACAAATGAGAATAAAATCTCACAAGGATTATAAAGTATAGGGAGTACTCCTTCAAATAAAATATATTCTGTGTAGATGTAGGCAACACCAGAATCAAAGTGTGAGGGCGTACCCTTGTGCAAGAAGTAATCAAAATAAAATTCAACAGTATGTGGTGACATAAAAGCGTAGAAGACATACAACCGAAGATAAAAGACTAACAACTAGGGAGGCTTGCTAAAGCCTTGAGAATAGCACCGCGATAACTGCAATACAGTGTGTATTGCGCTCGACAAACACCGTCTGGTAGAAACAGATTTTAAACGTTGTAAGAATCCCATCTAATGACATCACAAAATTAGAGATAATTTTTCAAAAATATTTTCAAAGATGGCGGCGAAACACAAAGTTTGCGCATGCATTTTACTCGTAGACTAACATGTTCGAGAAGGGAATGATAATATTTTCATAGTTAGGTCGTCAAGTGGGATTGAAATAGCCAATTAAACTTTTCGTTGTCATTGTCCTTTAAGCAGTATCCCATATGCAAATATATCTGTTTTGATGCTTGTAGGTTTGCCGAAGAACAATTCTTTTGCCATGTGGGGATATTTTAATTTCGCGTTTTGGAGTTCCTTTTCGTTTTTTTACAATTAGGCAACTATGACATGGGCTACTTATTATACTCGATTTCCCAAAATCAATTATTTTAGGCACAATATTAGAGTTCTGTCTTATGATTAAAACATATTAGATTTAATGTCTCCATGCAAATAGCTACATTGGTGAATATGATCAAGTCCTTCACAGATATTTCCAGCTACTTGTAGCAATTTTCTGTCATTTTTCAATATATTATCGTCCTTTAAGCAGTCCTTAATGTCCTTTAAGCAGTATCCCATATGCAAATATATCTGTTTTGATGCTTGTAGGTTTGCCGAAGAACGATGCTTTTGCCATGTGGGGATATTTTAATTTTGCGTTTTCGAGTTCTTTTTCGTTTTTTACAATTAGGCAACTATGACACGGGCTACTTATTATACTCAATTTCCCAAAATCAATTATTTTAGGCACAATATTAGAGTTCTGTCTTATGATTAAAACATATTAGATTTAATGTCTCCATGCAAATAGCTACATTGGTGAATATGATCAAGTCCTTCACAGATATTTCCAGCTACTTGTAGCAATTTTCTGTCATTTTTCAATATATTATCGGATGTTGAAACTGCAGGAATGGAACCGGAGGATGAGTGATCATTGTTCCCACTGCCACGACAACTACGAGTATATTTCTTAAGATAATATTGCAATGTTGTCGACAAAGACCCATAAAATTCTGAAATTATTAAAAATGGCCTACGTTCAGTGTGCCCTAACATTTAAAACAGTAATAAGTTCACGAACAACTTCCTCCTCTGAGCAGTTTTTGTATTTCTTAACTGCTACGGCCATGCCTTGATAGGTGGTCTGCAAAGTAACCTCCCCATAAAATCCTTTTCCAAGCAGAACCTCTGGACTTTCCAAAGCTAATTCATTCCTTTGAATTAGCATGGATTTGGGAACAATCCAAAAGGTCATTCCAAACAAAGAGTAACTGTTTTAAAAAGTACAAAACAGACATTTTCAGTAAATTTTGCCTAAATGTTTTTATATACTAGCAATATATTTTCGTTTATTATATTGGAAATTCAACTTTACCTCTCCTTTGACAATTGTACTGCCAGTGGGATGTGAGAGACATCAGTTAATAGATAGCTTAAGATCTACGACGTCGACGCCAGCTAGGACGTCAGGGCTAAGCAGAGGACTGGGACTACATTAGGACGACATCCTAGTACCAGTCCCTCTGCATAGCCCTGACGTCCTAGCTGACGTCGACGTCGTAGATCTTAAGCTATCTAATATGCCTTTGTGAACAAAGTGATCCAGAGACATAGTCATGAATGGTGGATTCCCCCCCCCCCCCAAGAACTTTCTCTGGCTGTTCACCCGCATGCCACCACAATAGGCATTAACAGATTGCCTATCAGACAAGCAAATATACATACAATCGTAAAAATGCAATTATATAAATTTGCCAAGATCAGTACAGTTTTAGATATACTATAATTGTTTTTCTTCCCGCCATCTTGGTAGTGTGACGTTGACTTGGACTTTTTTTATATAATTATATATATTTATAAAATATTTAAAAATTAAAAAATGGAAATATATTTGTAGTCAGCATTCCACCACTGCCCATCAAGCAAGTACTTGATGTTGTTGAAATACAATAGACCCAAAATGGCAAAATCTCTTCGCGATTGACCAACGAAATGGAAAAATGTCAGAAATCGATCTAAATATAGAGGACGACTCCCTCTGTCAGACTTGCAGTTCAAATATAAATCAAGGCAGCTGTACTCTGTTTCACGAATGGTTAAAGAGTATGTCTCTTGGCAACAAGCATTCATTGTTTTTGATCAGGGGCATCACTCAGATCAGTCTTATTGAGGACGTCAGTCATGAAGATGCAGGGGATCTTGCATTAACCGACATTCAGTTTCGACGACTGCTTCGTGTGTATACAAATTACAAAGCAGAGCAAGCGAAGTGTTTGGAGAAAGAGAAAGCAAAGCCGAACCCCCCACAATCAACATACAGAACATCAAGTGCTTTGATGATAGTTTCATTGCCCAAGGGGATGAAGAATTTCTTTCACACCAGGGATGGACAAGGTAACATGGTTGTCAGTACCGAGGTGCTGAAAGGGAAGTTCAACAATTTATATTTTGAACAACCTCTCAATCCAAGTCAGATTTTCAGCAACTTGTTTATCCTGACTATGGCCAGTGAACGCTTTAAGCACTCAAAGACGCTCAGGGAATGTGAACTTTGGTGCCGCAAAGAGTGGAAAACACAAATACAGCTTTTAATGTGCCTAGCTAGAAGTCCAACTATTGATGCATCGTCTTCGACACAGTATTATTTGAGGTGCAGCATCCATGGTTTACTAAACAGAGCAGCCAACGGTACCCAGAGGTGGCAGTGTTATTACAGCAAGAGTCAGAACCAAAGAAGGCCCTGTGCGATCCTCTGTGCAAAGCTATGGAAAGCTGTCAAAATGCCTTGGGACTTGCCCAGGAAAAGATGGCCTTGTGCAGAAAAGAAATTGACAGTACCCTAAAATGCATTGGAGGTGGAGAAGAAGTCATAATTGAAGGTTTGTTCAAAATCAGCACTGGTGTCAAGGTGTATTGTCATCACCCGGCCAGGGGATTAGGAAGCAAAGAAAAGTTGGAGGGCACTTCATCATATTAAAGGGCATATTTTTAGTAAAATAGGGTGTTTTCCCCATTGTTCTACCTTTAATAATAGAAAAAAGGCACTTTCGGTAAAACTTGGTGGTTATTTCTTTTCTGCTTCCAGAAGAATGGCCTTTGATATTTGTAGAGAGAGGGTCTTAGGCCAAAAAAATGTGGTTTTCCGGTTTCCCGACCCTATTTAGTTTTTGGATGCCAAAATACCGATCCTAAACTTTTTTTGGATCATGTTTTTAAGTGTTTCCACTTAGACGAAGAAATTTCCAGAAATTGGAAATTTTAGCCAATATTACATATATATAATATATAATATATAATATATAATATATATTATATAATACCTTATTGAATTCAGATCGTTTAATTGGCTGTTTATGGTCACGTGATATTGAATAGAAAATTCCATTTCCCAAGAGTGCAATGGAATGCGTTCCATTGCACTCTTGCGAGGGCAATTGTACTATACGCTTTGTTCCATTGCACTCTTTGTGTTTTCGATAAATCGCATCCGTCAAAATGCTTCTCGTACGGTGATCGCAGTTTATTTTAACCCAATATTCGAAACTCAGTAAATGGGATTTAATGTAAATACGCGACTCGTCAAAATGGCGAAAGCTTACAGTAAACCTTTTAATATCAGTCTATTCTGGTATTATATAAAACAAATAATGAATGTTTTTATTTGTGCAATGGTAAGAATATTTTGATGAGGTGAAAGATGGAATGTTCCATTCAACTTGGCCGTCGCCTCGTTGAATGGAACATTCCATCTTTCACCTCATGAAAATATTCTTACCATTGCACTCATAAACATTCATTATTTGTATAATATATAATATAAAAAAGACCGACCTACCCTACCTAAGTTTTTGCAAGAAAGATTTTTTCAAATTGTACAAAATACCATTTGAGAACTAAAATAAACATGAGATGAATCTTCATTGGAATGTTTGTATAAATGTCTATATATATGACCCATGTTTATTTATTAAAACTAATATATGTTTCACAGGTCTTAAAGAAAAAACAAGTTCTTTACCAATCTTCTGCCCCAACTCAAGGAACTGGTAAAGGAGTGCGAGCCGTTTTACAGCCGCGTCATGTGACAAGAGTTAAAAATTAAATTCAATTACTTGGTTTCAAATAAATTGGTATTTCTAAATATCAAAAACGTTTCAAAACCAGAAAGTGAGTCAAGGGACTAACAATTGTGAATATATCATGAAGTATTTCATTGATACTACCTCTTGCAGGCTCAAAATTTAACACATCAATCAAGCGGAAAAATAAATAGCAACTTGAACGTTTCAAATTTTTGCTTTTCTTATCTTTAATTGGAGGAGGGGGGGGGGGGATTTTATCAGTAGTCACATAATTTTTGAGGGGGTATTTTGGCAGTTGTCACACAACGTCACATAGGGGTAGGGGGTCTGAAAAATTGACTAAAATAGCGTCACCTATTTTGTGAACAGCCCCTAAACTATATTTTATAGTTTCAAATGTTTTTGTTGATATTGTAAAGGACCAATACAGTTTTCATGTTTATGACAAAGAAAAAGACTAAATATTTTCTGTTCTTTCAATAAATAATGTGATTAAATTCCTTGAACAATTACTTTTGAAAAGTTGTAGAAAACTATTATATATTTATAGCCATGGAGTCAAAAGACAAAGATCTCTCATTTTCCTCAGACCTAGCCCCCACACCCAAAGCCAAACCCCAATACCAGACTTTTTATTAAAAATACATATTTTATACAAAATACGTTTTCAATTTCAAGTTCCAATCTATTTGACGAATTTACGATTTCAGTAGTATCTCTGTGCGAGTCAGTTTAATACCTGTGTCGGACTCTGATTAAAAGACATACATGATTACATGAAGCCGTCCAGTTCTTATATACCATTCCAAATGATGCAAAGCCAAAGGCACAGCAATTGAATTTGCGGCTACATGGCCCACCATTCTATAATCTTCTATAGACGTCTATAGAAGATATTAAACAACATACTTTTGTTGAAAGATGACTAACATTGCGGATTGCAAGTCCAGAATAAAATAAAGCTTGGCCCTGTTTTCCAACAATGAACAATCTCGCCAACAATGATTTAATAATATTTTTCATTGTGCTCTGCAGGAATTTTTTTTCCTCGAATTTGATCATGCAGGAATTTTTTTGAAGTTAATTTGCCTTGCACGAATGTTTATTTTGTTCCCCCCCCCCATCACTTTTCTAATGGTCCACCCCTAAGTTTAAAATTAGAGCTGCTCCCATCGGTTAATTTTCGTAATCGATGAATCGTTGTCAACAATCGATTAATATCGATTAATCGTATTGATAATTAAATAAATTTAAATATGACATGGTGCAGGTTTGTAAGTGTTTACTAAATTTTTGGAAGTTGCACAGAAACATGTCAATTTCATTGCTCCAATATGGCACTTGGTGTGGCCAAACTAACGTTTTAAAACATGAAACCAGTTTTTTTAAATCCGCACGCTGCAATGTTGGATGCAAATGCTAATAAATTCTTCTAATAAAAAAACTTTAAAGATATTTTTGCAGAACTGGTAAACCCGATCAGACTAAGGTAGTAAGATTCACGCTGCGAGTGAATTTTATATTTCACGGACAAAGTTTTGAATAATGTTTGTCATTTAAATTAATTACAATCTTGTCGCAATTTTTAAAATTAATCAGGAAATAATTCCACATCAGGCGTTATATATGTGGTGTTATATATGGCATTATAGATGATCCAATTATCCAACTGCTGTTAAGCCTAATCGATTGTGGAAAAATAATCGATTAATCGGGAGCAGCTCTATTTAAAATTGGTCCAAAATTCCCGGTATATTTGTAAACTGTAAAATATCATCATATACAGGTATTTTGAGATATAATATTGTTGTCAGTTGCATGATCTTAAACTTCATATCACTGTTAAATATTGTCTACCTTTAATAGCGCGAACATACAAATCGATGAGCTGTTTAGGATTATATTTGTTACTAAATTTCCCAAAATTAGAACTTCAATTGTTGTTTTGATCCAGTTTGATCCATATATTAATGTAGATATCGACTATCGAGTATAAATGTTTACGAATACATAAGTTAATTATTAAGCAGCTGACAGCTGTTAATAGCGTGCGTGTGAAATTAACAAATATCCATACAAGGATTTGTTATTTTATATATTCCACCACCTCAAACTCAAATTATAGCAAATAGTTTAGAATAATTATTTTAATGTGTGTTCACTTTGATGCACGGTTAAAATAATCAGTAAAATTACTTTATTTTGATACACTATTGATCTTATTATATTCCACAAGTACTAGTACCAAAAACACAGCATTGAGACATGTTAGCCCAGTGCGACACCAGAAATTATTATTGTCACCCCACACGCCACGTTTAAAAAAATGGAAGCTTGCTGCGCGTTTAATGCCGGATTAACCATGTGTCAGATGCGGAAAATGCTGCGGGCCTCGCGCTTTACTGTGCCACGCCCATTTTTTACGAGAACACAGCCATTTTCTACTGGGACACAAATTTAGGGACCTCGCGGATTTAGGGCCCCTAGGCTTGGCAGTTGGCCCAGCACGGCCCCGGGAAAATATGCAATACTCGTGTGCATATAATCTACAGTTGCATTGAGCTGTTATATTATGATCCTGTTTATACATGTTGACCCAATAACTGGGCCAGGCAGGCCATTGTCTCATTTATAATTGATCCCAATAAATTGAAATATTGAAAAAAATTATTTAACAATTTTGTGTGTCTTTAAATTCAAAGGTTTTCATAACAAGGGGGAGGGGGGGGGGCTCGCGCTAAAATCTGCCACGGGCCTTGCGCGATGTTAATCCGGCCCTGGTCACTTGTCGGTAGTTCATGTGGTTTTAATGCCACTTGCCAAAGATCGAAAGGGAGGACCGATGACTTAGAAATGGTGATTAAATGATTTACTACGGTATGTTATTTAATAACGAGCAAGGGTTAGGGTAGGGATTAGGGTTAAGTTATAAAGTTGGTGTTTGGAATAGGGTTAGTGTAAAGCTTTGTTACATTTTGTCACTCTGAGGCCAGCGAAATAACCTCTTCCGCAACATGCACATACACACACGTCCACTATCGTCAAGAAACAATACATACAATCGTTGTAGTCTGTGAGATTTTAATGAGATCAATAGTGTAAACCTTGCAGTGTTAACACACATTAGCCAAACTTTCCTGTCTAACTTACCCATCTAAACAGACGGGAAAGTTAGACGGGAATCTCATCTAGACGGGAAACTCGTCTTAAATTCGAATTTATCCGTCCCTAAGTTCATGGGTTTTCACAGACGAGTTTCTCGTCCCTAATATGAATTCGGCTATTCAAATATAAAGGCTGGTAAACTAAAAATAAAAACTCCTTATATGTATAAACATTATAAACGTTCATTTCACATGTACACGCATGCTAACAGATGCTTAATAATTAACTTACGTATTTGTAAATATTAGTCGATACATAAAATGGTACATTAATATGGACAAAATGGAACAAAACCTACCTCTGAAAACAGCAGTTGTAGTTCTAATTATTTTGGGGAATTTAGTAGCAAAATATAATCCCTAAATAGCTCATCGATTTGTATATGTTAGCGCTAAAGTTTACAACGGCTGGGTCGTAGATCACGTTGAATAGTGATCTGAAGTTTATATCATGCACAACTGACAACAATGTCTCAAAATACCGGCTGTGTGATGATTTTTTTTTACAAATATACCGGGATTTCTGGACCACTTTTAAACTTAGCAAGGCAAAAAGTCCCCATTCAAGAATATGTTTTTCTCAAAAGGTAAAATACTTGGAATACTCGATTAAATTGTTTACTTCGACGGTGTATAAATTAACAGTGTTTGACTTGCAAGACGTCAAGAACGGAAGATTTCAACCCGCTGTCGTTTATCACATATTCATTTGCCCAAAGAAGTATTTATGT